ATGCCACAAATTATAATTCGACTACAACGTACTTTATACCGTAGAAAGCTACTTGAAAAATGTGCCAAAAAACTGTAAACTGAAAACAGCAAATAAACTGTCCAGATACGATAGCATCAAACATCCTGCACAACATCTAAAATAGCACAAAAAGTCTGTTTACAGTTGGGGCCAAAGACAAGTCGTATACGACCTCCGAATGGACCCGATTGTTTCACAGCAAGAGATACTGACATCTTGTGTAAATGCAGCTTCAAGAAACATGTCTTTATAAACGTACAGATCGGATATTACTGACAGCTTTGTGTGAGTTAACTGACTTGTTTTTAATTTTTCGGGTCAGAAACGATTTCGATGTTCTTCGGTTTCATTTAAGGGAAGTTTGGACAACTTTACACTAGTGGCCTTCAGAGCTGTGCATCATTTTTCTCATTCCAGTTTGAAAAAATTAAAATAAAACTTGCCATTTCTATTCTGTATTAGATCACTTTGAATATTTTGTTTTGATGATATAATATGCAAATGTATTCTTACTTGATTTTTTTATTTTTTGTCTTTTCAATTGCACCAGTTATTAATAAAGTATTGAATTGAACATTGTGAGTATTTAATGAAGCTGTATATTGTATGTCTGATGGGTAATTAACCCTTTTAACTACCATGTGACTTCCAACCTCAACCTAAGGACAAACTCAAATCTCTGAGTTTTGCTACATAGAAAAATAATGACTTACTAGCTAGCCAATTTTAGCAAAATGCTAGCTAACTAGAGATTATATTTTATCAGGGGTCAAAAACCTGCAGAATGACAACTACAACCCTTTAATCTGGTTTAATGTTGGTGTATTTACTCACAAATTCACTCATTAAAGGCTGAATTTGAAGCCTTTTTGTCTTGTATTTGTGTTTCTGAAAGTATTTTCCTTTTGGTTCTGGAAAATACTGAGACACAATGTACCGTATACGAGTGCCAATCATTTAATTTCATCCTCGTTATGATTATTAGTTAAAGGTCTGTGTGTCTGGTCTCTGGAGGCGTCTGTTCCCAGGACCTCAGCAGCCCTGTTTCCTCTGCCAGTTACCGCTGTGTGCCTCCATGTGAATGCCAAGGCGACCAAAGTGCCCACCGATCCCTCGTCGTCATTAAAGACTCACATTCACTCCTCTGATTCACTGATCTTCCCCACGGCTCGTATGTCGCTGCAGTGCCTCATTACGGCCATTTACCCACACTGTAAAAAGTGCCAACAGGTTAAAATAAATATAAAGCTTCTCCAAAAGAATGAAAACATTATTATTTAGTGACTGTTGATACTGAACAGGACACAACTATTAATTCATGGTGTAATTATGGAAAAAATTGCTTAGGTTTTATGGGAATGGGTCATTTAAAAAAACATTTAAATGTAAAATGAAAGGCATGGAAATATTAATAAAATTACAAAAATATCCTGTGAATTTATGTCTAATGTGAAATAATTAAAAAATTACTAATTATTTAAAGAAAAAAAACTTTTTCACATAAAAAGATTAAAATACATTTACAAATTAATATTTTTTGCAGATTTTTACTGTTTATTTAATAGATTAAACTGTGAAATTCAAGTTAATACTTTAGTTAGTACTGTTAATACTTTATAAACTATAAAAAAAGAGTAAAGAAAAGTATTTGTTGTGTAATTTTAAGACTGTCTGTGAATAAATTGTTTGAATAAATTGTTGTTTTATTCAGTGTAATAGAGCGAGTTAGGTGAGCGATGTCAAATACAGTATTTTATCAGTGCGAAAAAACAAACAAGATTAAATTACTGACAGACCTATTGACTTTTTATTACAGTTCTATAATCTTGCTTAACATTCAGATTAAGGAAATAGAAAAATCCAAATAATAACAGCCACTCTTGCTGTAAAATTTAAGCCTGAGTTTAATTTGTAGTTATAGCGTGTTCACCTGTATTTTTATGCTCATTTTGCAAGTTTACATGCTTATTATATCTTCAATTAGACAAAAGAAGCCTCCTAAAAGGTAATACAGATGATTTTGTCTCAATTTAAAGGTAAAAAATTATTTTAATGATCTTTTTACGAATCAGTTATTTATGTATTTTACGGGTTTTATGCGCAACACAACCATTGGCTGACTCGAACCTTTTAGCACACAAACTTAAAGTGATCACTTACTAACTTATGTCAGTCCTATAGTCTGGAGTCGGATGATTGGGATCGGAGTATTGATTTCAGAGTATTATCGGTAGCAACATGAAACAGGGCAAACAGACAAAGCACAAACAAACACCAAAACCAGAAATCTGAACACATTGACAGATATTCAAAAAACAGGATATACACGATTAAATCAATCACACTTTATTATTAACTAGTAAAAGTGTCTAATAGAAACAATGAGCCGAGTGTCAGAGACAATAAAACTTAGTCTGTTGATTGTTAAAAATTATAGAAAATCTATACAGACATAAAAATTTGAAAAGTCAATTCACAAAAATTAATTGCTCTGAATTCATCAAACTTCTGGTTTTACACAACTTATAAATACAGAAATACAGACAGTCCTGCAGTTACTGAGTTCACTGTTTGGGTTCATTGTACAGTTTTAATATAATATGAAATATCCATAAAAGATGTCACTGTGTCAGTTTATTAAATGATAGAAAAGTGTAATTAATATCAGGAATTAGATGATAAAAAATAAGAATCCGCTCAGAAAGACATCATGGAAATGACTTTTAACTAATTAATTATTTAAGAGAAACAACAGTAACATACTGCTCCCCACTCCAGTCCAGCAGGTGGCAGTAATGCACATATACGCTGGTTATCTGACTACCATTAAAGCCTATTGAAGAAGTATTAACACACGATGAAGAACATAAACTCACTAAATGCTCTTAATTAAAAATAATCTTCTGTGAACGAGAACAAACTGACAGATAGAAACCAGATAATGAAGCACCAAACAACTAATAATGTGTAATGATGATTTATTTTTCTTCTTTTTAAACCTTAATGTCTAACTCTCTGAGTTTTCAGATTACAGCTAACTGAGCACCACTCGCGTCTGTATTTAACATTTTCCTAGAAATGATGAGTTTTCTCAACTTTTCTTTTTACAGTGTTGTCAGTTAAACACTGTTAATATCTAAACTAACTTTTTACAGTGTGTAAAGCTGCTTCATATTTAAATGAACAAATAATCTAAATGTTATCGATATTAGGACGAAAATAAAATAAATAATAATAAAACAAATATGGAGCCTGTTAATTCTGTATGATTGTTGAAAATTAGAAAATATATAATACAGACAAAGAATTATATAAAAAGTTCAATAAACAGGAAATAATCTGCTCAAATAATATTAAAAATTCATAAAAATGGGTCACTAAATTAGTTAATTGATCCTTTAAGTTGGGAACCGCTGATATAAACACTGTAGAAGAAGACCCCGCCCACAGTTTGATTGGCAGCTGATGTCATTACGGAGGCTGAACTTTAAAGGTAGAAACAAACTTTTAACTTCAGTTCCTGATTGTTTGGGTTAAATAAAACCGTCCTGGAGCCAACGAGGTCTGTGTGGTATTTCTTTCAGTGGGTCGGGTGCAGCGGGTTAGGGATCAGCGCCCAGCCGGCACACAGACACCCGGTCTGTTGTTTCTTATTGTGCAGAGCTCAGTGAGCTGCTGGGGCAGTTAGGGGGGCAGTTAGGGGGGGCAACAGGCATCGTTTAATCCTTATCTGAGCGAAGGTGTGTGATACTCTGGGTGAGGGGTTTACAGGACGCAGGAGCAGGTGAGTCTGATGGTTTATATCCTTTATTTCACTCCATTGTAGAGTTTATATATTTTATATTTAGTTAATTTGAGTGTATTTATTTGATAGAAAGTAATTTAACATCCTCCACAGTTTTATTCCTGATGTTTAACTCTTTTAAAAGTACCGTGTAATAAAAACATACAGCTATAAGTTTAATAAAATACAATAACACACAACAACCTGATGAGTTTGTTCAACTCAAACTGTCCCTTTAATCAGGTTTACAGCTGTAATATTGAGCCTAAAATAAACAGATTTTTCAGATTTAATGTCAATAAACGGATCAATATGAGGCTGAAATAATGACATCATGATGCAGATGTGTAGAAAGTTTGAATTCAGAGTTTGTTGGTCGAAGAGCAAGACTTTGAACAAACAGCTGTTGAAATGCTTGTCTTCTGAATGGAGTTTGGTTGATCGGAGTTAACTTAGTTCACATTAAATTAAAACCAACAGCTGGAATCAATAACAGACTCAGATTTTACAACTTCCTCGTTACCTGGTGATCATTTATGTTGAATTTCTTTCTCTAAAGCAAATTATTACATTTATCTGTTGAAACAACTGATAAAAACTTTGTAGCATTAATTCATTATCAAAACAGTAGCGACATAAAGTCAACTTAAAGAGAATGAGTCAATGAATTAACAATAATAATTAAAACACTGCACAAATAACAAATTAGTTATTCAACAGTTCAGTTTTGAGTTGAGTTTAATTAACTGTAATAAGTGACTCTCAGACATCCTGTTATATTTTAGAATAATTTAGTGGATACAGCTTTGGTTTTATTCAACCTTTAACCTTCAGTGATATCAGTCGTAGCTGACGGAGTTCATGATGTAGCTCGCGGACTGTTTTGTTTATGAATTGTCTTTCGGTTTGATCTGTTTCCAAAGTTTGTTCACTTGTGGATGAAGATGAATTTAGTTGTTTTCAATCCCCACAGAGGAGTTAACGAGTAGAAGTATTGATTAGTGATTATTTACTGAAGTTAATTTGAAAAGGAACTCTAGTCATAGAAGATCATCGCATTATGTCTATTTCTGGTTTTTAACACATTATTTCTAAGTTAAATTTAAATTAAAGTGTTAGATTTGACACTAACTGGTGGCCGCCCCCCTGAGTTGATCCTGTGTTTTCTGTCTGCAGCGGCGCCTCCGTCGGGGTCATGGCGGCGTCACAGAGAGAAACTCGGCATCCACGTCTCTGTTTTATAATCTGTGCTTCTTCCCTTTTACTCCTCTTCCTCTTCAGCCAAGGTGGGAACATTAATGACGATGATTTAATCAATTTAATAAAGCGTCTTTTAATCGCTGTAATGTTATATTATTATACGAGTACGGAGGATCAAAGCTGTTCAATGAAATCTGGTGTTATTTTGGTTAAATTAATGTTTTCATCACAATGTTTTTTGTTTTTTTAACTGAATGGCTTCTTTAGTATTTGAGGCCGATTTTAGAGGGGAAATGTTTACCGGTAAGTCGTCCAGATATAGTGGATTAAATGAAAAGGCAACTTTCTTAAACAAATAACTATATAAGAAAATAGTATATAATACAGAGTTTCTTCCTCTCCTCTCACAATGTTATAAGTCACAGCGCACTCTGCTGGAGAAACTCTGCAGTGACACATTTATATGTACTGAATATCAATAAGATAATAATAAGATACTGATATACCTGTGATGTGAATATCAGCTTTAGTTACTTGGATGAGCTTCTTTCATATTTCATGTTTTGTTTTTGTCAGTATTGAGGTAAAATAGGTTTTAAATTTCCTTCATAATGGTCTTAAAAATGTCTTAAATTTAACTTGTAGAAACCCTGTTTATTTCTGTTCCACGTTATAAAACAATGCAACAAAATAAAAAGTGTTTTGTACTAAAAAAATTAAAAATCTTTGCATTTTTTAAAATCTTACTGTGCAGCGTTCAGAGCCAGACGGCAGGACGAGAGACACAAAAGAGACATTCTGGACTCTACAGGTAATGTCAGCTGGTTTTAGTGTTATTGACTCACTGTTGCAAATACTTATATAATAATAATATAATAGATAATACTTATTATTGTCTGTACTGTATCAGACATTGTCTATGTTTCTATAAGACTGTGAAGTGCACAAAGTATTGATCCTGAAGAAATAATCACACTGTGACACCAGATAAGTTTAGTTTATTACATCAACATTTTTAAGTAAAACAAACAAAATTGTGTAATTTTTTGTAATTTCAAGTGATATTTGACTGAGTGGATATATTCTGGCTAACGTTAGCTTGTTTTAAATGAATATATATATCTAATATGGAGGCTATCTGGTGTTTGTGTCGCTGTGTTAAAGGATTTATGGATTATTTCCTCGATATCTGAGACCAGCTCTCACACTGACCCCCTTTTATTTCAGCTCCAGGGTTGAATCTGTCCGTCAAACTGTTAGTTTCTGGTCATTTGTCGTTCAGACGCACTTTGCTGATGCTGCTAATTCCATCATAGAGATTAAAAACCAGAATCAGCTCCCATTGACTTTACTGTCTCCTTTATATTCCCAGAAATCCCAGCGGAGCACATCGACCCGGCCGCCATCGACCTCACTCCCCTGGTCAATACTTTAATAAATACGAGCCAATCGGGTATGTGTGTCATAATATCGCTCATGTGGGATCAATTCTGAGCTGTAAATCTCTCATGTTCGTGATAATGAAACCACAGCGCCGACCCGGTTCTCCTGCAGAGGTCAAACAGGAACTGAATCGGGTTCTCTAGAAACCCTCAATGGTCTCAGATCCAGCAGGAACCGGATCAGATTCTCTAGAAACCCTCAGTGGTCCCAGATGCAGGTTTTATCTGCTGGTTCTGATCTGAACTCTGGTGTTTGGTTGAATGTTCTGTGCTCACTATCTTAATCAAAATAAACACAAATTCAGGTAATTTGAGATTATTTTATTAATCCCAGGTGCTTTAATGATCAGCAGCCAATCAGAATCCAGTATTGATTGATAGTAATTGATAATATTTGTGTCTCCAGGCTCCCGGCAGCTGTTCTCCCTCCTCAGTGTGACGTCCTACAGCTCTCTGGCTCTCCATAAACTCACCCTGTTGGTCTACAACAGTAAATATTAACTCTCACTAACGACACACTGCTCGTTATCTCTGTGCATCGTTACTGCAGACGACCTCCACTAAGGGGCGCCACAGCAGCGTCACAGCCACAGTCGTCTATAACTCAGTGTTTTGTTCAATTAACTGAATTAAATTGTTATTTTTTTAGTTTAAATTAGTTCATTTAACTCAAACATTTGTTGAAACAGATTCAAAAAATATTTTTCATCAAGTTGCTTTAAAAGACTTTAGTAATTTTTAATAACACTGACTTTATTTTGTATTGTGAAAAAAAGTAATTAATCACAAATGTTTTAACAGAATTTAACTTAAAATGTTTGAATATAAAGTTTCTATAATTTCAGCTAAAATAACTTTTATTATTTTATTTACAGTTTTAATATTTAAACTTGAATGATGAACACAAACTGTAAAATATCAGAGACTTTATTTTTAACAATCAAACTAATCTCTGATCAATATTCACAGCAGTTATTGTTCAGTTAATCAATACACTCAGTGATTGATTGGTGGCCCCTTCAGGAACCTCTGTGTTCCTGAGATGAGTATGTCTTTGCCTGTAGTTCCCTCTAGTGGTCTGAATGTGTAACTGCTGGTTTCTCACTGTGACTGTGGATTATTGATCTCATTGATTTATTAAAGTGTGAAAGTTGAACCTGAACACAACGTTTAATAATCTTAATAATTAAATCTACATTGTTCCTGTTACCTGAAGTGTTTTTTATAACTCTAGATTGTTTTTTAGGATATATTTTAGATTTTAGGGGCCAACTGTCCCTTTTTAAAGCTTTAAAATACATTTATCTGAATTAAAAGCTGCTTTAAGGTTTCAAACTGACTTTAAACTCTTAACAATTGAATATAAAGTGTTTTTATATCCTGATGCTCAGATTATTTATGTTTTTATGTTTGTTTGTTTTTTTACAGTTTCCAGCATCAGAAGTTTAGAAAGCAGCCAGTTCAGGAGGAGATTCTGTTACTGCGTCACTAACGAGACCAACGATCTCACAGGTAACAACGTTCAAACGTTTAATCTGAATCTTTTAATTCGTCTCTTTTTTAACTTTTCTTTCTCTCTTCAGACTTTACGGCAATCCTGTTGGACGTGATGGGAAACTCCACCAGTTACCTCCACGAGCTCTTTAAATCAGCCTCCATTTTATCAGGTTGGCTGTGAGCTGATGTTTGTTTGTTTGTTTGTTGATGTTTGTTTGTTGTTTCTCCTCCACAGAGTTTATTATTTACTGTTTGTGTGTTTGTGTGCGTCAGTGAGCCAGAGGAACAACTCCGACTGTATCTACATCTGTGTGATGGCCGGGAAGATGGGTGAGTGCAGCTCGTGGTGCGTTCAATGCTCGCTTATAAAACCACAGTTAGCTGCGTTAGTGAGAAAGGAAAATGAAAGTTAAGGTGATTAACTAATAATTAATGTTTGAAAGCTGTAGATTTGGCTTTATTTGTGTTTGACTGCTGATAATAATCTGAATTATTCTTTTATTCTATTTATAGTTTTTAAATGTTGATGTATAGTTCGATGATTGTTGTCACATATTCTTGAATCTCTTGTTAAATATATTTTTACATATAATTTAAGTAATAAAACTTTAACTTTCACCAGACGTCCGTCATCGAACTAATAGATAATTTTCACTTTCTCACAATTTCAGTACAAAAAAACCCTGAAAAGTCAAATTTTTCTATAAAAGCTGCTGTGAAATCAGGAATTTTAAGCTGCAACAATCCCAAATAAATCCTGACATTTAACCAGCATACAGACAGTATAAAACTGACCTAATGTTTGCTCTCCTTAGGATTGATTGATTATTGGTATTCGATTGATTCCAGATATTATCGTCCAGTTGAAATTGTTTCTGTGGATGTTTGTGTTCAGGCAGAGAGGTCTCCGAGCTGTGGGAGGTCGACTCCATCACTCCGCTCTTCAACCAGACCATCGTCGAAGGACCGCACACAGGTCAGTTCACAGCGCAGAGGTCAGTTCAGGGCACAGGGTCAGTTCTACCTCCGAACCAGCAGGGGGAAGCAAACACTCAACCTGTTGTTCTTTATTCTCACATTAAATCCTCATTAATCAGAGTTTTAATGGTGCAACCTGATTTACTGAAAAATGTAATATAAGATCGACTTTATTGATCACACATCAGCTCCAGATACACATTATAGAAATACACATTAAATACAAAAAAATAATAAAATAAAATAATGAAAATAAAATAAAATAAAATTTAAAAAAATAATGAAGTTATAGTAGGAAAAGAATTATACCGTATTTAATTTAATGGATGGAAGTTACGTCATCAGGATACAAGAAAGGGTAAATGTAATCTATTACAGTTATATAAGAAAAGACGTAATCCGATTACAGTTACATTTAGTTAAAATTAGATTATTAAAAAGGATTACAGTTTTAATCTGTATTGATTATCTGTTTCCTGTCTGCAGTCGGTAACGTCTCCTCCATCAGACTTCCTGTCGGTGAGTAAAAGCTGTAAAAAGTTTCTGTTCTTCGTCTTCGGGACGTTTTTAATCCTCGTTTCCTTTTCAAACGCCAGAGTGGAACCAACTTTCCTCCAATCTGAGTCACATCCCGCCGTCCGGGATGAGTTCACTGTCGACCAGCAGAGTCCACGGTGAGTCTGCAGGAGGCATTCAGGAGCGCTCGTTAATCTGAGCTTCAACTGTCTGATATTCACTGTAACATTATCAGAACTACAGGACACATAATGTCTCCTTAAATCTCTATAAAGATCTTAATACCACTGTGGTTTAAACAACGTGTATTTTTTGGAGAAAGACCTGTTTTTAGCAAACAAAATAAAAGAATGTGTTTGCTAAAAAATGGCTGTAACAAATTTCATTAATTGTACGGTGGCTCAGAGGTGTTAAACAAACTGCTAAAACTTCAAAATGAATGTTTATTATTATTATTAGTAGTAGTAGTAGTATGGAATTTAGTGATATAGGACAGAATTATCATAATAAATAATCAATATATTCTCTATAATAGAAGAAATAAGAATAATGATAATAACTGGAAGAAAAACAACATTAATATTTAGGAAACAGACCTTTGTATTGGTGTTGTGGTTTTTGTGGTATGTAACACCTCTGAGCCACCGTAGTCGCTCTCTCGTGTTTTAACTGTTTAATTAAAAAATAATAATGTTTGATTCTCAGTTTCACCAACAACTTTGGATGAAACGGCTGCAACAACAGCGAAGATCACAACCGTCAGACTGCAGAGTCAAACAACAACAACACAAACAACAACAACACAAACAACGAGAACAACAACACAAACAACAACAACCTTACAACCAACCACCTCCCTGCAGCTGACCACTCGAACATCAACCCAACCCGCAGCGCTCTCACCGGATGTTAGTCCAACCACGGCTGGACGCCATCCCGGCACCACGACCCGGCACACGGCGGCCACCGCTCAGCCCACCAGACTGTCGCCGGTTCGACCCACAGTGGGACCGACGCTGGCCAGAAGGACTACAGGTCCTCTTAGGAGAACTACAACACCCAGCAGACCTGTGGAGAGACCAGGTAACGATTCCTTGTTTTAGTATACGGGGTTCAGTTAGTGACAAAATAACACCACATGTTGTTGTTGTTGTATGGAAGACCGAAACTGCCAAAATCATAAAGAGAGAAAGAAATGACATAATGAAATAAATAAATAAAAATGTACAAAAAATTATATTAGAAATAAAAATAGCCATTAATTAATTTATAAATGTGACATTGGCTTCCAAATTTATTTACTTTTACATTTCATTTTCCATTGTATTCATTCATTTCTTCTTTTATACATTTTATTTATTTATTTATTTATTCATGTAATTTATTTCTGTATAATTTCCCCAAACTTATTTATTTATTTCACTTTGCTTCATTATGTAAATTAGGTATCATGTGATCAACTTCTATTGATCGACATCAGAGTGCCAAGACATAAAAAACTAGAAGTACAGAAATGATTCCTGTACATAAAATATACCAACAACAAAAACAACAACAACAACGCTAAAGTTACACTGTGCAAATTAATTAAGAATTAAGAAGTTTTTAACTCTTATTTTTCACCAGTTTGGATTATTCCTCTAACAGAACCAAACAGGGTTGTTATAATGCAGGAATGTGCCAGATGTTGAATTTGAAGTCAAGATTAAACCCTTTAAGATCTCATCCTCAGTTATATTGTTTCCATATTTAACAATTTATGACATAAAAAATCACTTCCTGTAAAACAAATTGTGACACGTGCTCATGTAACTGCTAAGTAGCCACTGTTAGCTCTGTGTTGTCAGTTGGGTTGAAATCAGGTTTTATTGGCGGTGTTTTTGGCCTGTTAGCCGCTCTGCTGAACAGGAACTCGACCGCAATCACATCAGATCAAATCCACAGACAGATTAAATCCCAGTCTTCAGGAAGGTGTGTGTGTGTGAGTGTGTGTGTGTGTGTGTGTGTGCGCAGGAGGTGATGAGATAGTAACCATGGTAATGCAGCTGCAGCCTCCTTCCTGTGAAAGCTTTGATTGTTTTCAGCTGCGATGGTTAAAATCAAATAAAAGTCATTTAACAGTTATTATTATTAATAATAATAACAATAATATTAATATAAGATTAATATAAGATAATATGTAACAAACATTTAAAAGCAGATTGAACGAAGCAAGAAACATCGATTGTTAAGAATAAAAATTTAGATTCAAAGACAAAAACAGACAGCAGCAGGTTAAAACAGACAATAAATAAATAAGATGATGAATAAAAATGCCAATAATTGATACATTATATTAAAAGTTGTTATTTTTAAATTTTATTGAGTTAACAGGTCTAATTTTATTAATACAGAAACATTTATATTATACAGTTAATCACTGACATTAATGTGTCACATCGTCATTCATTATGTAATGATGTGATTGTTTGGTTTTTGTTATAAATCATTATTTATTTATAAAAACTGATGATACTTTAATTATTGTATATTTAAATGTATTTATATTAAATGTATAATGAATCCAATGATCAATGATCAATGATCAATAAAACACTGTCACTCTTATAATGTGTTGTATTTTACATTTTATATTTTTATATATTAATTCCACATGTTGACTCTTTATTAGTGATTATAAAACAATTATTAATGGTTTATTTATTATTATTAACTACTAACTTACTGGTTCCCAACATTAAAGGACCTTTTCTATCATTATTAAACTGACTCATATTTTATGTTTATTTCATATTATAATAAAACTGAACAATGAACTCAAACAGTGAACTCAGTAACGAAGATTCTCAGTCTGTGTTATTTATTTATATTTAACAGTCAAACAGATTTAATAGGATTATTTTGGCAGATGTTGTATTTAAGTGTATTATTATTGTTGTTGTTATTATAAACAGTGAATATTCATATTAACATTGTTCCACTAGATGGCAGCAAGAGCTCAGACACAGCGACTGCTCCCCCACTGACTTCTGCCTGGCAACAACTGTGTGTGTGTGTGTGTG